GTAGGGTTTTGTTGGGGGGAGGGGGGTCTTTTTTTTTTCTTCGTTCCTTAAAAAGATTAGCCACAACCACATTGTCACTCACTAACGCTTTGTTTCACATCCTTTTTTTTCTCTTTTCATTCACAGCAGACCCTGCTGAGATAGCAACCGTCTAAAGATAGAACGACCAATGGTTACGTGCTTTGATGTATGGCTTACGTCATTGACACAAAATCGAAGGACAAGAGTTGTCGCTGAGAGCCACTCGAGGACGATAGCGTCCCTTTGTTTCTTCCCTCCAAATCCAAGACCCGCTCTGTCACTGACGAGTGCGGGGACAATTATAGAACTTGGACGAGACGCAGAGGGTGAGCGAGTGAGTGGGTGACTCGAGTCCAGGGTGAGCGTGCGGCTGGTCAAATCTTTCAAGTTCTCGAGCAAGCACCGCGCGTTTTGACACTCGACCACGTTTCTCGAAGCGGATCAGTATTAGCAGCTGTGTTCTTTTCTCTTCTATTTTAATGAGCTTTTTTTTTCCAACTATCGCTTGGATCTATTGTGTATGACTAGAAGCACTGTTACGGTCAAGTCAAGAACTCTAATTTTGACTTTTTGACATCTTATTGCCCCTTTTTTAAAGAAAAGAAAAGAAAAGGCCGAGGTTGAGAGCAGATTCTGTTGTCGTGATCGTTAAGAACGTTTTTGCCATCTCTTATTACATCAGTTGTGCCGTCTAGCAAGATACTTTGAGTTGACATCGTTGTTGGGTTTACTGTTTCACGTCAGTGCGATTTATTACGAAGCAGAGGTTCCTGAAAAGACTCTTCTACACAAAATGCAGCTGATAATTGCAGTCATATCACGAAGAGTGCTTGTATTCACAAACATTATTTAGCAATGAACTGTAAGAATTTTAATCTAAATGTCGTCGAATTAGAACGAAATTCCCCGAGAAAGCTTGTCATCAGAACTCATTGCTTTATCATGCCAGCGTTGAAACTTGCCTGCATAATATCGCAGCACCAGAAAAAGACAAGCGCGTTGTGTTAAAGGTTTGCGTGAAGTAATCATTCGTCTGGTGGTTTAATCCGTTAGACATTCCTAAATTTGCTATAAAGATTTCTTCTTAGACGTCATCGTAATGGCGTTGTCCAGGAATGGGTCGTCTGCAGACCATCTGGTCATGAGGAACAACGTGAACGTGATCGTGAACACTGTCGGCGCCGCCGGAGGCACGGCCCAGCCCGGCGGATGTGACGCAGGAGCCGAGATGACTCAGGCGGAAACAGCTGTCATGAGCGCCATCTTGGTTCTCGTCTTCCTCTCCAGTCTAGTGGCCAACGCCTTTGTGTTCGTCGTTTTCTGCAAGAGGAAGACGCTGTCAATGTCCAACAGATTCGTCGCGAACCTGACCGTCTGCAACTGTTTGAACACTCTGCTCGTTGTGCCGTTCGCTTTTTCGTCGCTTTTGACCAAGCAGTGGGTGTTTGGAGAGGTCTGGTGCGTCTGCACGGGTTTCTTGATGAACGTGGTAGTCAGCGCGAGTATTTTCACCCTGGCAGTCATCTCGATTGACAGATACTTCGCTGTGGTTACGCCTCTCCACTACTCAATGCGACTGACATCAAGGCGATGCTACGGCTTCATCGTGTGTATTTGGGTCCTGGCGATATTAATCTCGGCCCCTCCATTGTTGGGTTGGAACTCTATGCAGTTCCAGTTACACAAGATGGTGTGTACGGTCAAGTGGTCAAGTGTGTCCGGTTCTGACCGATATTACACATTCTTCATGATCAGTTTCAGCTTCCTCCTGCCGTTAATCGCTATGTTGTGGACGTACGCCAGAATATTCAGAGCTGCTCGCGGAAACATTGTCCGAGCACGTAGAAACAGCGTGATTCGAGGGAGCTCGTCCGCGCCCTGTCAGTCAGACGAGAACGGACAGCAGCAAACCACGCCCATCAACTCCCGGAGGCGGAGCAGCTCTGTGCCCATCATACGGCGCCTCAGCCAGTCTTCGAGCCGCTCGTCATCTTTGCTGTGGAGGAAGGAAGAGTGGAAAGCCGCAGTGACAAGCTTCCTTGTCCTCTTCAGCTTCGCCGTGTGCTGGACGCCATACTTCGTTGTGATGGGCATAGAGGCGGGGCTGGGCGAAGAGTCTCCCCTCTACCCCATCGTGTCCCACATTTCGACAGTCCTAGCTATGTTCAGCTGCGCGTGCAACCCGCTCGTGTACGTTTTCCGCAGCAAGATTGTTCGTCGTGAGCTCAAAGCCATCGTCCAGGGTGGCCGAGGTGGGGGAGGGCATGAACTCTGTATCCCTCACGAACTTCCCCGGCGCGCTTCCGTTGTCAGGAACGAAAGTGGGCGGAGCTTGAGAAGTATGGGGGATCTTGAGGAAGACGTGGAGGCGGAGAGGACAGAGGAGGAAAAATTGCATTCTTTGGTGTGCAAGAAATCTTTGGTCGCCCGGACCAAGGCTCAGGAAGCGGCCCTCCCGTGTTCGGACACCTGCTCCACGCTGTTGACTTGTAGCAGTTGTAACTCCATGAAAGACTGACTCCAAAGTTTTTCATTTTTCAATTTTTAAGTGGAGATGTCTTCTCCATTATCC